GGTGGGTAATCTGAACTGCTGTTAGGCTCATAGGCACAAACAACAGTCAGGACCTGTCCCATCACCCGTAGGCAGAGGGAGGCTACCTTCTCATTCACTGGGGTGAACCCCAACGTACAGGCACCGAGATGGGGGGCAATAAGTATGCCCACTCCTGCTTGGCGGCTCTCAGCATGGGCAACTCCAGAGTGGAAGAGTGTCCAACCCCTTTGCAGGAGCCTGGTTCCAGAGCCAGAGAGGTGCGTCGAGGTGAGTCCAACTTTATCTAGTCGGAACCTCTCAACCTCACACACCAGCTCAGACTCCTTCACCACCAGAGAGGTGACATTTCACATCCCTAGAGCCAGCTTCTGTTGCCGAGGATCAGCTGAGGATCGGTCCTCACCTTAAACCACTGCCTTTTGCACGAGTAGTTTTCTGGGGTTATTTATCCACTGTAGTGTTCGACAACTTTACTAATTGTCTACACCTCCTTCACTACAGCCCTGTTATCTACCCTCCTACACCTGGTTTTATCAGATCATGCTGGTTGAAGGGGCCATCTACTGCCTGCAGTCCCACCTGAAGATTCACAGATCTGAAGGCAGCATTAACGCTGGAGGCTGCAGCTTCAACTCCTTCCTGAGGAGGACAGTCCGCTTCGTAGGTAAGAGCCTGCCACACCTATCGTCCGATCTATCTGTAGACCTGTTCACTTATCTGTCTCTAGACATGTTTAAGTCTGTAGACCTGTCCACCTGTCTGTCTGTAGACCTGTCCTTATCTGTCTGCAGACCTGTCCTTTTCTCTCTGTAGACCTGTCCACCTAACTGTGGACCTGTCCTTATCTGTCTGTAGACCTGTCTACCTGTCTGTAGACCTGTCCACCTGTCTGTCTGTAGACCTGTCCACCTGTCTGTCTGTAGACATGTCCTTCTGTCTGTAGATCTGTCCACCTGTCTGTCTGTAGACATGTCCTTTACTGTCTGTAGACATGTCCACCTGTCTGTCTGTAGACCTGTCCACCTGTCTGTCTGTAGACATGTCCTTATCTGTCTGTAGACATGTCCACCTGTCTGTCT